ATGGAAGACCAACAGGGTGGGAGCGGTCCTAATCTCCGGGGGGAGCTGATTCCAAAGCGTGGGCGCCATCACAGAGAAGGCCCTCCTCCGCAGCCCCGCCAAATGGCACTGCTTGGCCGACGGGGCCCAAAGGAGGCCCAGCCTGTGGGATCTAACCGGACGTAGGGAACTATTATTTTATTTATTTATTTATTTATTTATTTATTTATTTATTTAATGAGACTTATATACCGCTTTAAGTGCAAGCACTCTCTAAGCGGTGTACACCAGTAAGCAATGTATATATATATATATATTTACATTGCCCCCAACAATCTGGGTCCTCATGAGGTATGAGGTAGTAGGCGGTCTCGCAAATAGCCTGGCCATTGTATTGAGTAATGATATAGTCTAGAGAACTTAGAAGCTTATATGTTCATTTTGGTCAGTTTGATTAGGCCTATTAAAGATCTTGCCAGTGCTATTAATATGTAGAATATGATATGCATATTTTCTGAGAAGAAATATCATAAACATAGTTCACACATTTTGTTAAAAGACACTTTTTTTCTTATTGAGGATAGTTTGTAAACTCACCTGTAATTTTGTTCAGTTGTGTCAATTCTCAGAGATAGCTTGGACAAGTCCCTACAGTTTTTTTGGCAATTTTTTTTTCAGAAGTGGTTTGTCACAGCCTCCTTTCTAGCACTGATAGAAAGTGACTGAGTCAAGGTTACCCAGTTTGCTAAGACAAGACTAGAACTTATGGTCTCTTTAGTTCTAGCCTGGTTCCTTAACCACTAAACCAAACTGGTTTCACCTATAATTATTTAATATTAAACAATTATATCTGGATACTACTAAAATTCATTGTGATGACCTTTAACTGAGCAAAACAGTCCATAATAGGGCAACAGTTTTTGAACCAAAGTACTTCAAATGGGCTAACTTATAGAATGTGAGCCGTTACTCCTAAGGGAATAATATTTAAGAAAGTTGTGTCTGCTTCAATGGAATTTACAGTTATTTTGGCATTTATTAATAGGGATAAAATGCTGATTTTTAGCCTGAGATGACTATCATAACTGATTTAATTCCAAAAATTGTCCCAATGACCCATCTGGTGAAGTTTTGGTTCTGTTGGTTCTCCTTGATCTCCTTGATCTTTCTGTACCATTCTGGTAGCATTTCTGGAACCATTGATCACAGTATCTTATGTCAGCTCTGAGATGACACTGGGCAATAATTTTATTGCAATTCTGAATTTACATGCGGATTGGACTACAAGATAACATTGCATTAAGGTAATGACCTTATGGTAATTAAGTTGTGGGATCCTGCTGAATTTCATTCAGCCTCCAATTGTCTGCCTTTCATGATCTAAGACTCTATAGGAAATCACAGACCTCCTGGTTTTACATTAGGACTTGGCAGAAGTCTTACAAGCATTATTAATTATAAACCATTATTGCAAACAAGAATGATGCCAAAGAAAACAGGCGATTTACCATTGGTAGTGTAAAGTCACAAGTATCTTTTACTCAGTGGTTTAATTCCCCAGCTACTTTCCCCAAATTAATGGTGGTGTGTGACATTTGATGACCATGACACTGATCAATTGTTGAGTATTGCATGGTTTTGTTTCTGAAAAAGTAAAAATTCATAATTGACCCTGGCATGAAATTTGCCTGGAAGTAGAGAAATTTTTTTTGATAATATAGTTTTCTACTATAATTTTTATATGGTCCAAATAACAATTTTATGCAAACACTGCTGATACTATACATGTGAAGATCTCAGAAATACAATGTCATTTTTTTTGTTGGATGATAGCAAATCCTATATAATAAAATTGTTTCATTTTCATTGTACCATGAGCTGGTACACTGGCAGACTTCACCTTGTTTATTCTTGAGTGTCCTCTTCATCAGTTTTACTATAAGTACATCTACTATAAATGTGCATTAGAACAAAAATGTTAAGAAACTTTAAGGCTAGAAAAATGCTATCTATTGTTGTGATCGTTTGCTGTTTGTTTTGCTTTTATTGGCTCTTTAGAATTTGTTATGGCCAGTGACTGAAATAAATATATTAGATTACACATTTTGACTGACTTACATATCACCTAAATCAGAGGTCCCCAACATTTGGGTACCAGGGACCGGTTCTGTGGAGAGAGGTTTTTCCACGGATCAGAGAGTGTGTGGTTTTGTGTGCTGCCTGCATCCCACGGATGGGGCTTTGCTTGTTTGTGTGGACCGGTTGCTGGCATGATGTGGCCCGGTACTGGTCCATGGACCGGGGGTTGGGGACCCCTGACCTAAATCCATTTTCTGTAATAATTATTAGTATTTATAAGAGGAATAAGTTGCAACTGTTTTCTCTGCTATACTTAAATTAACTGATAAATTTTGTTTGATATTATTTTTCTATAATAACTTTAAATTGTTTGACCAGAAGGATTTATTTGAATTAAGAAATTTTCTCCAGCGCATGTACAGAATTAGACTTCTTTAGCTGTAAGAAGAAGAATGACAGGGTATGTTTACTTTATATTTAACACAGCAGGAAGAAAATAATCCTCTAAAGCAGAACTACTAATGTTTCAGAGGATGATTTCATTACATTATCATGATGTATTCATTTTGCATTTTAATATGATGTATTCTTCTTCTGTATTTGTCTTTGGGGAAAATTTACTTTCATATTTCTTATGATTGTTCCACTTTATGTATGATAAATTATTTTAGTGGATTATTAAAAGTAAATATTTACAATACAGTTGTAATCTTTCAATTAAAGAATAATTATAGCTGAATTGATATGAGTGATTCAGTTCTAATTTGTTTTAGTTTATTTATGTCTCTGTATTATGAATATTTCCTGATATTCCATAATATTTCTTTACTTTTGTCATTTCTGTTTGAATGTATTATGTACTTCTGAGGATATCCTTTAGAGGAAGTTTTTTAAAGTGTGGTGGGGGAGTGTTTTTATGTAAATTATATAGATTCTTAAAGCATATTGATCAATAACTTTATTTCCTGACATTAGTATCAGTGGATTGGAAGTTTAAATAAATGATTTTGTGTAATCATAAATGATTCAATACTATCAATCTATAAGAACATGCTGTTATTTTGTGCAGATTCATTTATAGACAATCCTCATTTAGCATCTGCCTTATTTAGCAACTGCACTTACAGTAGGGATAAAAAAGGTAACTTTATGGCCAGTTCTTGCATCTACATCCTTCACAGGTTATAAAGCAAAGGAAAGCTGAAGTAAGATCACAGCTTCACTTAGCAACCATTTTCTTAGTGACCAATTTACAGGTTCCAATTGTGGTTGCTAAATGAGGACTACCTGTAGTTCCTTCCTATATGAATTTGTAACTGAAAGTCTCAGTTGGAATATTAACTTTTTAGATTAGAAACATGGATAGAAGCTTAGGGATGTTAAAATCCTGTTTGATAAATTCAATTCAAATTAGCTTGTGTATGTGTGGTTATTTGTGTCTGTGTATATTATCACATTTTTACTCTTTGCCTCCAGATCCCTGCACAGCCCTAATTGTTGCTGTGTACCCTTGATTAAGTGAGTTTAATCAAGCATACACGTTTGAACAATGTGTGTTGAATACGTGTCATCTAAAGCTGTAGGTGGCAAAGCAATGTCAACATTTCCATTTTTCCTTTTTTTTAAACAAGTCATGTTGAATAAGAGTGGAAGAAAAATCTTCCGCAAATGAGCAGTGGGAGATGAAACATGAAAAGAGATGGAGGAGGAAAAAGAAGAAGCATTCAAACAAAGAGATAAAACACACAGACATGTACATATATCTACATAGGAAATATCAGATTGTAATGGTTTCTAGGATATTTTTTTCAAAATTCTATAAGTATTCTTGTTTCAGACTCAACATTCAGCCAGATCCTTCCAGTGATACCACCCTATCAGTGAATAGACTCCTGGATTGCAAATTTTGTGTTTTTTGTGATTTGTAAATAAAATTTGGAGGAAAAAAGGAAAGCGTTTCAATATATTCTTTTGTTGTTGCACTGGTTATAAAGAAAAAACTTGCACAAGTTTTGGTTCATTCCCCCCCCCCCAAAAAAAACCCCAAAACTGTCTTAGGTTTAGTTCAGCTACCAGCTCAGCCATGAAATCTTTTTGGCAGCTTTATGGAAATGATTTACTATTATAAATTACTATAATAACACAATATTTTTAATATTTAAGTTATTAATATAATACTTATAAAATGTATTTTTGAAATAATTTGCTATAACTATTGGGAGATTTTAAAGAAAAATCTCAGCCTAGACTAAAACATTGGAATGTGGATTGTGGTCAGGCCTGATCATACTTAGCAAAAGATTACCTAAGGTTTGTTGCCTATTTTTCTGTACTTAAGTATAAATTGGTAAAATCTTTCCCTTTCTTACATGCCAATATCTTATAAACCCTATACCGTATTTCTATGTATAGCACTGCAAGAACAATTGATAACAATAGAATGCAATGGCCTAATGTTTTTTTAGGTATTAAGATGGTAATCTATAAATGAATTTGCAACAGTTACATATATCAACGAAAGGTGGAAATAATAGGAATTTTGAAGCAGGCAGTGTGCCTTTCAGGGTTTAAGATATGAAGACATAAAACATCTCATGATGGCTTAAAACAGCTGCTTTGCAGCCTACCTGATAATTTATGAATGTACACTTACTACACACGGACATGCACACGCACACACACACATGCACACACACAGAAACATTTTCATTATAATATAATTTCCATGAAATTAGTTATATTTATAAACCATGTTTGGGGCTCATGTTTACTTAAAAGCACAAAAATTTAAGCAACTTCATTGCTTCACCTATTCAGTCTATTTGTTTTATCTGAACTGAAGTTAAATAGAGAATGAAACTATCATTTTTCTGGTTAGTTGACAATTCTACTTCAAGCAGAAGTTCAGATAGTATTTATATTAATAATATTTTTTTATATAGGGGAATACATAAAAAATTGGAGGCCAAGATACTTCTTATTGAAGACAGATGGCTCCTTCATAGGATATAAGGAGAAGCCGCAAGATGTGGATCTACCATATCCTCTTAACAACTTTTCAGTAGCAAGTAAGTATCCTTAGTAATCAATTAATGATTATCAAACAGGTAGTAGATTGAGAAACTTTTTGAAATGCATAGATCTTAACCGTATTTTAGATAGACCAGAACATAATTCCACAATAGAATGAAATTTCATTGAATCTGCATTGTGCATTATGGACTGACCAAAGCAAAAGAATAGTAGCAGAAGGAAGGAATTCACTGGGCTCGAGGATCGACATTAAATCTTAAATAGCCAGTATTTGAGGCACCATTGGAATGCTTACTCTGTATGTAAATCAATTCTCTATATAGCCATGTTGAGTGTGAAAAACTTGTTCTAAGTATTCATTGGACTCAATTTGTGTGGCCTGAACCTTAATTATCATCCTGTCTATAGCTTCTCCTCTGTGAGTTGGCGGGAATAGCCAACACTCCAGAAGACAGGCTTAGGATACAGGAGGATCTGGACAGACTTGAACACTGGGCGCTGTCTAACAAAATGAAATTCAATGGTGAAAAAAGTAAGGTTCTACATTTAGGCAAGAAAAAACAAATGTACAGGTATAGTATAGGGGGTACCTTGCTCAATAGTAGTAACTATGAGAGGGATCTCGGAGTCCTAGTGGACAATTATTTAAATATGATCCAGCAATGTGCTGCAGGTGCCAAAAAAGCTAACACAGTGCTAGGCCGCAGTAACAGAGGGATAGAATCAAGATCACGTGAAGTATTAATACCACTTTACAATGTCTTGGTAAGGCCACACTTGGAATACTGGATCCAGTTTTGGTCACTACGATGTAAAAAAGATGTTGAGACTCTAGAACAGTGGTTCTCAACCTTTTTAATGCCGTGACCCCCAACCGGACGTAAGTCAAAGACAACCCAACTGGTCATAAGTTGAGGACTACCCAACCGGTCATAAGTCGAGGACTTTACCTGCCTGGGAGCGCCGCGCATGCGTGGTGCTGCCCTCTGCATCGGCCGAGGCCTAGCTGGCAAGGGGCAGCAATGGCGCAGGACAACCACTGGCTGGGCCACCAGCTGGCCCAGCCCAAGGCAGGTAGGGCACCCGCCGGGCCCCACGCACGCCAGCAACGCTCCCTGCGCCTGCCGCTGCCCCGCTAGCCTTACCTTGGCCACTGCCCGTTCAGGGCGGCGGCAGGCAGGCCCAGGCGCTCCTGGGTGGCCACGGCAAGCGGCAGCAATGGTGCAGGGCGACCACTGGCTGGGCCACAAGCTGGCCCAGTCCAGGCAGGTAAGGCACCCGCCGGGCCCCACGCATGCCAGCAACCCTCCCTGCACTCGCCGGCCTCCCACCTCCCACCCCTGGCCCTCTTTTACTTACTTTTAGTAGTTGCTCAGCAGGGAGGGAAGCTTTCCTTGCAGCACCGTTTGCAGACTGGGGCTTTTGGCGGTCTCAGCAGGGCAGAGACAGCCTGGACAATTCCTATTGGCTTTTGAAAGACTCTCTATTCAAGAGACTCTCTATTCAAGAGAGTCTATTCTATTGGCTTTCAAAAGCCAATAGAATAAGAGGGTGTAGCACAGCTAAAGAAAAGGGGAAAAAATGGCGGACAGCCTTGTTTGGTGACCCCCGTGAAATGGTCATTCGACCCCAAATGGGGTTGCGACCCACAGGTTGAGAACCGCTGCTCTAGAAAGAGTACAGAGAAGAGCAACAAAGATGATTAGGGGACTGGAGGTTAAAACATATAAGGAATGGTTGCTGGAATTGGGTATGTCTAGTTTAATGAAGAGAAGGATGAGGGGGGACATGACAGCAGTGTTCCAGTATCTCAGGGACTGCCACAAAGAAGAGGGAGTCAAGCTATTTTCCAAAGCGCCTGAAGGCAGGACAAGAAGCAACGGGTGGAAACTAACCAAAGAGAGAAGCAACCTAGAACTAAGGAGAAATTTCCTGACAATTAGAACAATTAACCAGTGGAACAACCTGCCTCCAGAAGCGGTGAATGCTCCAACACTGGAAGTTTTAAGAAGAAACTGGTCAGCCATTTGTCCGAAATGGTATAGGGTTTCCTGCCTGAGCAGGGGGTTGGACTAGATAACCTCCAAGGTCCCTTCCAACATTATTATTATTATCATCATCATCATCATCATCATCATCATCATCATCATCATCATTTAGATGGCACAAGATTCTTCCAAATAGCGGAAATGATTTGTGGCTTAGCGTAATAACACCCTATTGGTACATTATTTTAGTTACAAGTTGTCCTCAACTTATAATCATAATGGAGCCTGCTCATTACAGTTGCAAATGGTGAGGCCATTAAGTGAGACAGTCTTGATTAATAACCCTCACCCCCTGTTCTCTCTGATGCAGTCATTAAACAACCTTGCAAGTTGTTATGTGGAGTTTGGGGTGCCTCAGGGGTGGGAGAAACCCTGAGATGTCTAGCATTGGTCCAGGCTCACCTGCCCTGAACTTCCAAGGCTCCGCCCACCTCTTGAGACACCCCTTGGGGTGCCTACAGCCATGGTTCTGCTCCACCCCCAGAGTCTCTGCAGGTCTTTCCCATCTCTTCCCTCCTCCATTAGGTCCTAAACTTTGAATATCTCTAGAGCTCTGTAGCTTTCTGCAGTGTTGCTCAGATTGAATTAGGGAAGCAAAACAGATTGCTTTATCACCCAACCACATGATGCGATTCTGGAAGTGGCCAATTTTTAAGCAACCACAGTTCAGTGCAGCTGCTCAGAAAATGGCGGTTGTTCCAGAATTGTGCTGGGCAGCCATGCAACAAAGCAATCCATTTTACTTCCCTAGCTCAAGGTCTGAAGATTTGGAGATCTTTGAAGCATAAGTGAAGAGGAGAGTGTAGGGCCTGATGAAGTGGGAAGCATGCCCAAAGCCTGTAGGGATATGATGGAGGGATGGGGGGAGATAGGTAAAGGGGTGCTGCAGTGTCTCTTTGATTGGTTGTAAGGGCGAATGATCGTGGGAGCACTGCAGTGGCTTCAGGACCAGGTTGTAAATAACTTGGGGGGGGGTTGCTGTAACTTTGACTAATTGCTAAGTGGCCAGTTGTTAATCGAAGATTACCTGCAAATACACCCCTATTAGATGCACAGCAAGTTGTACGAAAATTCTCCCAAGGTTTGTTTCAGTGGTGAAACAAAGAAGCAATTTTTCAGTTGCAACCCACGCTATCCATAATCCATAAGAGAAATATATAAATCCTCTGGTAGATAGAAAATAGAAGGTAAAAAAGATAAACTCCGACAATCTTTCCATGATCAAAGTTGGGTATAATAGATTTTGATCTGGATAGAAAGAATCCTTGGAATTTAGATTCAATTAATTTTACTAGATTAAATACTTTTTACAGTTATGAATCCCACCTTAATTGGTATAAAATATTCTTCCTGTGTTGCAAGATCTCAATATATTTGGCATTTGGAAATTGTAGAAAATGCAAATGTGCATTCTGCATTTTTTAAAAAAACTTTGGAATTCTTTTAGCTGTTAGTAGGTTTAGAAAATTCAAGGTATATTAAATTGGTCTTGATTAGGAATTTTTTTTCATGATATTTCTTGGAATAGGGCAGTAAGACATCAATGTTATGCATTTAGATATAAATCCCGTGGAACTTAATTAAAGGTACTGAATGTGCAGAAGATTGGACTAGAGTATTGCTTTATTCCAACAGCATGAGTTCAAAGCATTTGAAATACTTCATAAACACAATTCTGTTACATAATTGTACATACAATATTTGTATGTATGGCAAAAGCAGGATGGGGGTAGCGCATTCATCCTTGCTCTCCTTAATCTCTCATCAGCCATAGTATCCTTTTGGGCTGGCTATGGGGGATGAGGTTGGGCGGCACAGTATTGCACTTGTTCAGCTTCTTTCTCCCAATCAGTTTTGATAGGGAGCAAGAGATCCAGCCCTCAGCCACTCCTTTGGACTCAAAACTCATTTTCCATGAATAGGACCATGTTAATCCTTTCATTACATTTGGCCTTATGGTATACATTGTTCTATCTTTAACATGATTTCCACTAAATGATTTGGAATCAGTGTTAACTGTCTTATTATACTGATCACTTCTCACTCCTCGAATGTACAAGCTGATTTATGTTTTATATTCTATTAAAAAGATAACATTTTCATAAGTGAGCTTTTAAAGAATTCTTGATGGATATGGTCTTGACCTGTTTTCTTTGTCAGTAAGATTTGAGACTTCATTTCCTGTTATTTCTATTGCCTTGAATTCTTTATTCTCACCCTCTGAAAATGAAAATGTAGACATAGGTAACTGTCATACCTTCCCCAGGTAGGATGGGTGCATAGGATTCATTTACTTTTTTACAATATTCTTACATTTCTGGTACACCATTGATGTCCTTTTTGCTAATAATTTTTTGTTTTGTTTTGTTTTGTTTTGTTTCTAATGCAATTGATGCTGGTCCTTATATTTTTAATTTGCTTTCTTTATTGTGATATCTTAACTACCATCAGATATTTCCTTGGGCTCAAGCCTTTTGCTTATCTCATTTTAAAGTATTTTAATGTTGTTCTTATTTATCTTTTGTGTATACATCTAAGGATTTTTTCTTCCCTTTTTATTGTTGCGATATTTCGTTAGCCAGTGATATCCTAAGAAGCTACTATGTGCAAAAAACAACTTTTAGATGTGTAGGATTTAAAAGAGACAATACATCATACAGGTAGTGCTGAACGTATGACCACAATTGAGCCCAAAATTTCTATTGCTAAGCAAGACAATTGTTAGGTGTTAAGTGTTAACAATTGTTAATTTGGCCCATTTTATCACATTTCTTGCCATAGTTATTATGTGACTCACTGCAGTTGTTAAGTGAATCTAGCTTGCTGATTGATTTTGCTCGTCAGAGGGTCACAAAAAATGATCACGTGACCTGGGACACTGCACTTGTCATAAACTTGCCAGTTGCCCAGCATTTTAATTTTGATCATATGACCACGGGGAAGCTGCAATGGTCATAAGTATGAAAAATGTTCATAAGTCAGTTTTT